CAGAATCCCTTTGCAAAATGATAAGGCAGCTTTTATTATGGAGTAGTAGTATATATTCATTGCTAATGGCCAAACTATTCTATCTATCTATCTATCTACCTTTATCTATCTATCTATCCATCTGTCTGTCTGTCTGTCTGTCTATCTATCTACCTATCTGTCTATCCATCTCTCTCTTTGTCCATCCATCTATTTATCTATCCATCCACAAATCTATCTATTCATGTATCTATCTGTCTGCCTGCCTATCTATCCATCTATCTCTCTGTCTCATGAATTTAATAATCAGAGCATTGTCTCCAGAATCATAGGGCCTGGATTGAAATCCTACCTCTGAATACTTTCCTTAGCCAAGTCAATTTACCTCTCTGGGCCTCAGTTTCTTCAGCTGTACAGTACTATTGATACAGAATGCTACTCCCTTCCAGATGGAGAGGCAGTGGCCAATGTGGAGATCTGTTTTGTTTGACTGTGTGATTTGTTTCAAAAGAATACAAGAAAAGAATATCTGCAGATGATTAAAGAATAAACAGATAAATGCCTAAGGAAGTTCAGAAGGGGACAGAGAAAGGCAGGGCAGTGTTAGAACTACAATGTTAAATTTGAAATATGAAATAAACCACAAAACAGAAGGTCATGGTTGCGTTAGCAGCTGAGGTTGTCTACAGCAATAGCTCTGCCCTCTAGAGCAGAAAGAGAAGTATAGGCATTAGCTAAGTAGTTTTCATCATTCTCATACTTTGTGGCCAAATAATTCTAGATGAAATTCACTCTTTTTACTATAAGCAAACAGTAAGTTATTACTATTGTAATCTTTTGAGTTCTTTGTATAATGAAATGTTTGTTTGTTGATAGGAACATAACTTTAGCGGTAGAATGGACCTCAGAGGCTGTGTATTCCCACCAACTCCCTTAATTTTATTTGGAATTTAGCAAAACACTAAATAAAATGAGCTTAAATTTTCTTTCTTTTTTCATTTGGGAGGAGGAAAGTAAGAGGGATAGGAAGGCTATGGATAGGGTTCCCCCCACTTCCCCTAAAGGGAAGTTAACAGAAAAAAGCCCAGAAGGTATCACAGCCATCAGGAAGGCTTTGAAAGCTACATTTTAAATTTATCGTATACTTAAAAAAAAAATCAAACAGGCCCTACATAGTGGAGATTCACAGTTTCATATAAAATCCTTTCCATCAGTTCAGCAATGAAATGCTGCAGACACTGAAATATTTTCTGTAGAGCTTCACCTTAGAATATCCTATTGCAATGTACTTTCAAGGCAACTTGCCTAGTCAAGCACACCACAAAGTTCTGCTGTATACCAGATTTATCTTCCTGGTAGAGGTGCCAGGGCACAGTGATCCTGAACTAGGTGTCCCCCTTCCCAGAAGGGAATCTCCCCTATTAGAGTGTAAGCTCCTCGAGTGCAGGGACTGTCTTTTGCCTCTTTTTGTGTCACGAGAGCTTAGCTAGTGCCTGACACATAGTAGGTGCTTAATACATATTTATTGATTGATTCAACCTTTGTTTCACTGTTGTGTCTCTCTGCCTAGTTCTCTCTAAGGTAGACTTGTAGTACTTGTGATCAGCAGTAAGAACTACTGTGGAGGTTTTGTTATTAGAACAACCTATTTGTTTTAAAGTTAAAGAGCAATTAATCGGTGTTTATACCTCCTTGGGACAATTTACTAAGACATTTTCTCATGGGGCTTAAATTGTAGATCTTGTAGAATATTTCTATGGCTCACTGGATCTGTGATGTCACTGTAAGCCATGTTGGCCTTCCCATCCCATGTCAAGTCAGATCAAGTGAATAAGCATTTATTAAATGCCTGTTGTGTGTTAGGCACTGTGCTAAGTGCTGGAGATACAAAAAAAAAGCAAAAGACAGTTCCTGCTGTCAGGATCTCATGTTCTAATGGAGGAGACAAATGTGTAATCAACTTGTACAAACGAGGTATATAGGGTATCCTAAAAGTCTTAGAGTAGTTTTCACCTTTTTAAGCTGTGATAGCTTGAAACTGCCTAAGACTTTTGGGACACCTTGTGTATCTTCTAAGATATACAAGGTTTTCTTTAGTCTTTACTGGCTTAAAACTGCTCTAAGACTTTTGGGATATGTTGTATACAGTATATATTGCAGATATTCAATAGATTATCTAGCACCAGTATTAACAGGAATCAGGAAAGGCCTGTTGTAGAGGATGTGAAGGATTAAGGCATCCAAGAGGCAGAGATGAAGCAGGAGAACATTTCAGGTTTGGGGGACAGTGTGTAAAAATGAAGAGTCGGTGGGGTAGAGGGTCATCTGTGAGGAACAGCAAGGAGGGTGGTGTCACTAGATTACAGAGTATGTGGAGGGGAATACGGTGTAGCAAGGCTGGGTGGATTATGAAGGGCTTTGAATGTCAAACTGGGTAGCCAGTGGAGTTTATTGAATGGGGTGATAGGAATAGACTCGGGCTTTAGAAAGATCACTTAGACAGCTGAATGGAAGACTGACTGAAGTGGAGAGAGAGTGGAAGCAGGGAGAACAACCAGCAGGCTACTGTAGTAGTCCAGTCATGAAATGATGGGGACCTGGACCGTGGTGATGGCAGTGTCAGAGGAGAGAAGAGAGCATAAAGCAGAGATGTTATTAAGATAGAATTGACAAGTCTTGGCAGCACACTGGATGGGAAGTGAGAAAGCAGAGTTGAGGATGAAACCTCGGTCACAAACCTGGGTGACTGGAAGGATGGTGGTGCCTGTGACAGTCAGAGGCAAGTTAGGAAGAGGGAAGCGGTTGAGGGGAAAGAGAATGAGTTCAGTTTTGGACATGCTGAGTTTCAGGTTTCTATGAGACATCTAGTTTGAGACATCCGGAAGGTGACTGGTGACGTGAGATCAGAGGTCAAGGAGAGAGAAGTTCGGGCTGAATAAGTAGATGTGGGAATCATCCACACAGCAGTGAGGATGAAGACCATGGGAGCTGATGAGAGCACCAAGCCAAATAATACATAGGGAGAAGAGAAGAGGGCCCAGGACAGTGTTGGCAGAGAGGGACACCTATGGTTAGTGGGCATGATCTGGATGAAGATCCAGCAAAAGGAGACCAAGCTGAAACAGTCTGATAGAAAGAGGGAGAATAATGTCATGAAACCCTAGAGAGAAGAGAATATCATGGAAAAGATGGTGAATGACAGTGTCAGAGGCTAGCTAGAGAAAGGTCAGAAAAGATGAGGATTGAGGAAAGGCCATTAAGGAAGGCAGGAAGGATGGAAGGGAGGAAAGAAGGAAGAAAACAAGCTTTTACTGAGCTCCTACTATTGTGCCGGGCACTGTGCCAAGTACTTTACAAATATTATCTCATTTAGTCCTCACAACAACCCTGGAGATAAGTATTATTATTATATGCACTTTACAGTTGAGGAAACTGAGGCAAACAGAGGTTTAGTGACTTTCCCAGGATCACACAGGTAGTTAGTTTCTGAGATCTGATTTGAATTCAGGTCTTTCTAACTCCAGGGCCAATGTTTTATCTACTGGGTCACCTAGCTGCCCTAGATTTGTTAAGCGATCATTGGTAACTTTATTGTTGTAGTCGTTGTATATATTTTTCTTGGCAATTTTATATATTGTATTGTCATTCTATATATTGTTTTCTTATATAATTTGAATTTTTGTCAAGCATCGAAAGTATTAAATTATCTAACATTTTAGCCTTTGGATTAAAATACATTTTGATGTCAGGAACTAAAATATTTTGTAATTGATCTGTACACATAAGAATCCTAAGGAAAATTGTGAAAGATACAGTTTTTGCTGTTCAGAGCCTCCTTGTGGATTTCCCCTTCTTCTTATCAGTATCTTTTTTTAAAAGAGAATCTGATAAATTCATTAATACTCTGGGGTAAATGACTGATACGGTTAAAAGTAAATAAATTGAGAAAGCATGACATTTACAAGGCACAACATCTTAATCCAAAGGAATTGCTCTCCAATTATGGAATTTCTTGGTCACCCTCCCACATGGGCTGCCAGAAAAGCTACTGTAGGCTTGAAGTACTCTGTAATTTAGCACCCAGTCAAAACTACAGCTTATAAGCCCTCAACAATGTATTTAGTTCCATCAGTCACTGATGAAACTAAACAGAAACTAACAGACGTTAGTCTGATTAAAAAAAAAATTAATGAAATAGTTAAAAAGTGGTGAAGGGAGGATGCTCTTCTATAATCACCAGGGCTTCGTAGGAGTAGGCACATGCACAGGAGAGCACACATGTCAGTGAATGTGCTTGTGTGGAATACATATAGGGAACGCATGTATCCATGGAACACATATACCTAGACAAACACATTAAATCCATGTGGCCAAGGGGACATCCGTGACCAGTAGGCAGATATGGCAGGGCAACTCATACTTATAATAATGTCATTGTGCTGCCCTCTACTGTTCTCTCCTGGGTACTGCCTTTCTTCTCTCCAATTTATGCATTATCTCTGTCATCACATCTCTGCTTTCCAGGGTATTGTCTCCACTGGTCTTATGGACTTGGAGTTTTGTTAAATAAGTCAATGACAAATATTTGGGAGTCTTAGGAATATTTCACCTCAGGATTTAAATTTCACCATCAGTTGGTAATTGCTATTAGCAGGTGAGATTGCTGCCTTTAAAGAAAATGGAGCAGCGGCTAGTGGTGCAGTAGATAGAGCTCCAGCCTTGGAGTTAGGAGGACATGACTTCAAATCTGGCCTCAAGATACTTGACACTTACTGGCCGTGTGACCCTGGGCAAGTCACTTTGACACTAAGAAGAAAAGAAAACAGAACATTACTTACTCCTTTCTTGTTGGAAAGAGTTGGTAATAGAACAGAGGGGGCAACAGATAGATGTCTCTCTACCTTTCTACAAGCTTTTAGTTTTCAACATGGGAAAGGAGTCAAGGGGAGAGCAAAGAAGTTGAAAAAAAATAAATCGAATTCTTAAGATGCCTCAGAAAGACTCACTCTTGTTTTCCACAGGAGTAATTGCAGTAAAAGAAAGATTCTAGAGATTTTAATTCCATATGAAGCCCTGGAATCCTGGAATCCTGTCAGCATGGTGGTAAGAGTGTTTGACTCCTTGATAAAGCACAGCACAGGAAGTTACAAAAGGACCTTTCTAAATTAGTCTGTGAGTAAGAATCCTATTTTTGACATTTTTCAAGAGTGAAAAATACATGTTCCTTAATTTTGTAATCATGCACATAAAATAGTCAAGGCAAAATTTTAATCTGGGTCCTCTGTTACTGTATCCAGTACTCATTATCCAAAATGCTATACTGGGAGTAGTAGACTAAAGCAAGTCCTAGTTGCAGTGGAAGAGAGAAAAGCCAAATTAAAATTCAGAAAGAAATAAAGGAATCACACGAAATGAATGGGAAATGGTGGTCTTCGTTCCAGGGTATTTAAAGGATGCTACTTCTGAATCATGAGCCCATTATTTTTGAGAAAGTGGGCTTTTAAGTTCATTAAAGGCAGGGTTAATACCTTAAACCTCTTTTAATTCCCCCTAGCACCCAACACAATGTGTAACCTATAGCAACATATTGGTCTAAACATTGGCTGTCTTGAAATATAAGCCACAGCCTGAAAATGAGATCTTGTTGTGAAAGGGGAGAAAAATAGACAACCATTAAGAAGTACATTAAGAAGCACCAAAGATAAATTATCCTCAGGTTTTATACTCCCAGATTTGGAAGAAGATCTATATTCAGGTTGAAATGATATGTGCTCAATAAATATAGGGTTATTCACTAACAACTGAAAGGGACAAATATTTTTATCTTTAAAAAATGGTTGAGGGCAAGAATGAGTCCAGAAATTAGAGACCAGTAAACTTGACATCAATATCTGGAAAGAATGTATTGACTTGCAAATAAAATGACTTTTAGTGGAAGGCAGCTATATCCCTGCCAGTAAATATTTATTGAGTGCCCATCAGGTTCAAAGCAATGTGTTAAGTGCTATGGGAGATAGAAAGATAAATACTAATGGAACTCACCATATAGAAGGGACGAGGTAAGTTCAGAAAACAACGGCAATACTAGAGAGACTATGGTAAGTGCCATTAGTGAAATAATAAAAATACAATGGAACTTTAGAGCAGGGAGGGAAATCTCATTCAGTTCAGAGGAAAGGGGCTGCCAACTTCATGCATAATGAAGGGAACTAACAGACTCCTAATGCTTTACTTAGCTGGCATTTTCTTATCAAACAACCAGAATCTATTAAGCACCTATTATGCATCATGCATGGTAGTGGTTGAAGGGGACCTTAGAGGCAATCTAATTCAACTGCCTCTTTTTACATATGAGGAGACTGAGGCCCAGAGAAGTGAGGAGAGGCAGCTAGGTGGCTCAGGGTATCAAGGGCTGTGCCTGGAGTCAGGAAAGACCTGAATTCAAGTGCAGCCTCAGACACTTAACTAGCTGTATAACCCTGGACAAGTCACTTAACCTGAAATTCCTCAACTGCAAAATTCATACCAGATTAAAATCAATCAATTAATTCAGAAATCATTAACAATATAAATGCAGATACAGTGAAACATTTGTTGTTCAGTTGTCTCAGTCATGTATAACTCTCCATGTCCTCAGGTGGGGTTTTCTTGGCAAAGATACTGGAGTGGTCTTGGTGGTGCTGGGCTGCTGCGGCTGCTGTTTTTCCTGATGCTGTTGTATTTGGGGGGGGGTGTTGATGCTGGAGCTGCTGATGGTGGTGGAGGGGGTGGTGGAGCTGGTGGCTTTCAGAGTAATGTGTGAATGTGTTCTTGGCATGTAATTAGTGGTGGTCGCTAGCTTTCACAGTAAAGTGCTGGCGTGTTGGTATGTCATCGGCATGTTATTATCAAGTTGCTGACGTTGACACAGTGATATCTCTGAGTAATTGGCATGTTGGTATGTGGTTGTGTTGCTGTGCTTGAAGGTAGTGCTGCTGGTGGAAGTGGTGGTGCTGCTGACCTTGCTGCTTCTGCTGCTGGTAATGCTGCTGCTGGTTTGGTACCAGTGGTGCTGGAGCTGGTGCTGCTGCTGGTGGTTTTCACAGTGAAGTGTTATCGTGTCATTGGCATGTAATTAGCATGTCATCGTGTTGATGCTTTTTGACACAGTGATAGCACCAGCTTACTAGACCAATGCCTAGGGAAATTAAAAACCTGACAGCTTACTAAACTTTTTTTTTGGCAGTTTAACAAGATTACTGGCTCAATAATATAAGCCTCTTACCCTTTCAGGAAGGGGACCCCTGAACACCACAATATGCAAGAAATTCAGGAATAATGTACCATCCACTTTTTTTTTTTAAGGCAGTTAGGGTTAGGTGACTTGCCTGGGGTCACACAGCTAGTAAGTGTCTTTGCAGCTGGATGTGAACTCAGGTCCTTCTGACTCCAGGGCTGATGTTCTATCCACTGTGCCATCCCCTTTTTAAAAATGTACATTAAGGGGCAGCTATGTGGCGCAGTGGATAAAGCTCTGGACCTGAGTTCAAATGTGGCCTCAGACACTTGACACTTACTAGCTGCGTGACCTTGGGCAACTCACTTAACCCCAATTGCCTCACCCTCTAAATAATAGTAAAAATGTATCTTATTGATGTATTTTTTTTGTTTATTTTACATCACAGTCGTTTAAAGAAAAAAGACACCCTCCACAGACTGAACCCTCTCTTGTAGCAACAGTTGAGCAGCAAACCTGACAATATCTACAGTATTTGGCCCTCATTTCCCCAGCTTCTATGCCATGAGAAATGAACTTTAGTTTATTATCTGTTCTCCTGTCATCCACTTTGTGAAAGCAGGTCCCAATTTTTAAATTGTTCTAATCAAAGTGTCTTCCCTGACATCTGTGTGGCATAATGAAAAGAGAAGCCAACCAGGAGTCAGGGGAGCTGGTTTCTCTACTCCTGGGGCTGCTAGTAATTACCTGGGTGATCATGGGCAAGTCACAACCTCTTTGGAAATGTTTCCTTCATCTGCAAATGAGGAATTTGTGGCCTATTGGAAAGAGTGTGGGACTTTCTGTGGAAAGATACATATTAGATTCTTGCGTCAGACACCTACTACATCATATGGTCATGAGCAAGTCACTTAATCTCTGAGAGTTCATGTAATAGGGGACCGAACAAGTTGCCCTCTCCCAAAAAGCATACAGAGATGCCGGTGATGCAGTTTCCCGGGAACAGGCTGGGGAAATTCACTTCTGGAGACTCTTGATGTTTCAAAGTCTCTTGGAGAGATTTTAGAGCTTGCATAGATATTCTGGAACCGGTTCCAGTCTGTTAACCACCTAATGAGGACTGCATAGCCAGAAATGAGAGTGATTCACAAGAAGCTAGCCAAGCAAAATGTTGGCTTCTCTCTGGGTGTGACTTCCCTTTGGATGACTTCTTGGCTAATGGTGTCTGATGAGATACAGTGCTGTAAGAGGAGAGGCCCGAGGTCCTCACCTCAAAGGTCACAAGTGGCCATGGGAATCACAGTCTCAGTTCTTTCCTTTAGCATTTGTTCTTTTGTTTTGGGGGAAGACAATTGGTTGTGATTATGGAAGTTTCAAAAGGTCAGAACGTTGAGAATCTAAGTTTTGAGAGTCTGGGAGTCAAGTCCATTCCAATCTTGTAGCTAGTTCAGCGTTGATGTCCCAAGGAGCAAGGAGTGACCTTGGGGACCCAGTCTAGCAAGGAGCAGCTGAGAAGAGGACTCGTGTAGCAGTGCTTTTTGGATTTGGATGTGAACTTGGTGGGACCAAAGCTATGCAGAAAAGGCATTAAGTATGAGCCAACTAACCCCAGAGACCAAGATGTTGTGGGAGAGGATGTGCCCCTTGACATTGGGTGGAAGTGTTTGTATTTCGTTCTCTTCAGTCGATATCTTTTTACTTAAAGGATAAATGATATTAATTGGCTAAATGAAACTGGAATGCTAATTACTGATGTTAACAGTAGGGAGGACACATTGGAATGGGAGTTCAATCCAATAGCAGTAGAGGAGACGTATCTTAGCCCCTCAGGATAACCCTAGAACCGGAAGGGAGGAAATGTAGTTTGCCTGGCTCTGGGAGTTGAGGCCAGGGAAGTATACTTCTACTACCTGACAGGGTTGTTGTGAAGACAGTACTTTGGAAACTTTTAAAACATCATGTAAGCATGAGCTATTTTCTTAAAGAATGTTAGAGATGGAACAAGCTTCATGAATGGGATAACTGAGGCAATAGCAGTTCCCTGGCGCTTGCATTTTCCTTCAGGTTTTGCAGACATGATCAGGAAAGTAATTAATGTCTACATTAGAGATGTCAAACATGCAGAGGGCAGCCTGCATGCAACCCACAACACTTGCAGCCCCAGTGGGATTAAAATGTAATTGGGAAATATTAACGCATACAAACATGATAAAATGTAGAAAATGCTAATATGTGGTTTTGTAAGTCAATATGGGAGTGGCCTGGAGCCTTATGTATTGTTTAGTGGCTCCTCTTTCTATTTGACTTTGACACCAATGGTCTCCACAGTTAAAGGGCTGGCCAAGGTGACCTGCGTTTTTGGCCATGGCAGTCGAAAGGACTGAGGTATCCTGGCAGAAGAAGTACCCAGATGGATTAAATCATGGATCCTTCAAGTAGGAACACAAAATTTGAAAGCACAGGTACTCATGAATTTGTTATTTTTGGCAAAAAAAAAAACCCCAAACAACAACAACAACAACCCTCACAGGTTAGGAGAAACACATCTCAACTTGCAGAGAAAAATAGAATATTTTCAGTCAACCAACAAGAACATATTAGGCACCTACTGTGTGCCAGACACTGTGAGAGGTGCTGGGAATCAATACCAAGGTAAAAATGAAATTGCTGAAGTGAAACTGAAGTGAGTGGGTAGGGACAACTTTGCATTACATTAAAATTGTTTTATGTAGAAGTCTACAGAATGGTGCACTTATGTAAAGCAAGAACTGTCTGTGTATATAATATGTGTGTGTGTGTGTGTGTGTCTGTGTGTGTATATGATACACATCATGATTTAAAAGTTCAAAGACTAGTTGAGGATAATGTTGCTTGCTTTCGTCAGATATATGAGGGGGAAAAAAGTCACTGTCCAAATATCTCTTCATAGCTCCATAAAAAAAGGTCCTGCTTTCACACACACACACACACACACACACACACACACACCACACACATTACAGATAGTTCTTGCTTTACATAAGTGGAGCACTCTGCAGACGTCTGCATGAAACAATTTTAATGTAATGCAAAGTTGTCCCTACCCACTCACCTCAGTTAGCTTATGTAACAAAAGTATACACAAAGTAATATGTATTAAATGTATTAAAATGTGGTCATATTAAATGCTGTACATGATAATAAACAGAATTATGAAATGAAAGGTAAAGCTGATGATAAAGTATGCTGAGTACTGTACAGCAAAGTTAACAGAGGTGTGCAGTATGCTGCCCCTTCTCCACCCACTGCACCCAGCCTTCATCACTGGTGGTTGGTTGTGTAACATTTTTTATGAAGCTGTGGAGAGATATTTGGACAATGACTTTCTTTTTTCCCTTCATATATCTGATGATAGCAAGCAATATTATCCTCAACTAGCCTTTGAACTTTTAGAAATATGGAAGTATTTGGATGCATCTTTTCAATACAAGAAAAACATTCACTCAAATAATGAAATGCTTCCGCCAACTGTTCTGTTGTCAGCATTTTTGGTGTGGCCGTGGATTCCAAAGCCTCCATGTCTTCTTCTGCAATCTTTGCAGCTAACAGCTCCTTCATTCAGATCCTCATTCAGAATCCTCATTTGGATTTCTTTCAGAATTCTTTATGTAAAGTTGAATTTGTATAATGCAAATTTATGTAAAATGAGGACTGTCTATATAACTATGTATATAACAATATGTACATACATACATATATGTATGCATATAAAAATTAATAAATTGCTAAATATTTATTAAGTGCCTACTATGTACCAGTCACTGTGCTAAGCACTGAAAATACAAAAAGAGGCAAAAGACAGTCCCTGCTGTCAATGAGTTTATGATCTAAAGGGGAGACACTATGCAAAGACATATATTCAAGGCGAGCTATAAACAGGATAAATAGGAGATAATTAAGCCCCTGGAATTAAGAAGGGTTGAAGAAGACTTCCTGTAGAAGTAGAAGGTGGGATTTTAGTTGGGACTTAAAGGAGGCCAGAGGGGCCAATAGTTGGAGTGGAGGAGGAGGGAAAGGTTTCAGGCATGAGAGACTGCCAGAGATGGGGTGTCTCTTGATCCAGCACGTGTTGGGAGTAAGGTGTAAGAATATTGGAAGGATAGGAGGGGGCTGGATATAACTAAATATAATTATATCTATCTATTTATCTATCTATCTATCTATCTATATCACAAATACAAGGTAATTATGAGAGGGGAAGACACTTAGTAATAGTCATGAAAGCTGATGGTGACTGGGACCAGCAGGCTGGTCTTGTTGGAAAGTGTGTTGCATCTCACTAAGATCAGGGCTCAACCATGGGATGACAAGTGGTAACCAATGAGGAGGGCAAGGCATATTTCCAATTTAGGGGAGACCCATGTCCTCAAGCCAGGAGGGAGGGAGGCAATGTGTTTATCTCAGGCCCCAAGGCATGGCCTCTGTTCACACAGCCTGGGAGGAAAGCTGAGGTTTATGCTCTGGTAAGGAGGACAACCTCATTAACTTAATTATGAAACCACTAAACACAATGCAAAGTAAAAATAATTATAACATTCTATAAGTTCACACATACACCTGGGTCATTGATGTCCATGGGGAGAGTGAAAACACACTTATAGAAACCAAGCAAGGAGGCACATGAGGAAGGACTTCACATCTGCCTGGGGCAGCTCGTGTCTCTAGGCAGCTGGCCTTTATTTTCTATTTATATATTTATTTTTACTTTCCTTAGGATTCAGTGTGCACAATTAGTTACCTGTTGGTTTGAGCTGGCTCCTTGATTCAAACTGCTCTTTTATTGGGACCTACGGCAGTATTACACACTTTTAAAATTCCTTCCCTCAGCTCAGCTGCAAGCAACAGATGCAAGGTCTGTCTTCCTCCCATCAGCTCAGAAGAGGGGAGGGGCAATGCAGATTCTAAGCTATTTTTTCAGCTCTCATTTTCTTGGCTTTTCTATGCGTCATCCATATAGCTTTTAGGGCTTGGCTCCTATCAGGCAGCAGGAGGCAGTCATGGCTCTGAGTCCTCCATTCAGCTGAACTCTGCTAAGTTCAACTCACTTCAAACAACAGGAGGTAGTCTCTGTTTCTTCTCCTCCACTGCTTTTCTTTGTCCCTGTTGGTTTTTAGTTCTCTTACCTCAAAGCAGTCTTTTTCTATGAAATGACTCACCTCTAGCCAAGGGTGAGAAACCTAAAGCCATGTGTCTCTCAGACATGAAGTTAATCTGCAATATGCAATTATCCCATAGTCCCTAAAAAGTTCCAGATACCAGTGTTTCCCTAGATATCAACTACTTACAATTGTAGATCCGGCATCCCTACCAGTGTGCTTCCTATTTAAATAAATTAGCCATTTAGAAAACTCTATTATAATTTCTTGTTTATTGAATGTCAGTACTGCATGTAGCATCATACAAAACAGGGCTTCCCCTGTTTTGTCCAGTCCAGTGGGCTTACATTTTTTCAACTCATTAAAGTTGAAAGCAAGCAGCTTTATCAATTTTCCAAATGAAAACCCAGAACCCATTTCATCTTTATACCTGGCTTCATAAGGACTCCAGTACCAATCTCTGTCTTTATGGTTCTGGGTAAAAATAATGTTAAGTATATGAAATCACTTCCTAAGGTCTTGGCCACAAAGGGAAGCTTTGTTGAAATGTTGAGTGTGGATCTAGATCCAAGATATATGCAGTTGGTGGTTGCTTGTCCCAGGGATGTTGTCAACCATGTGTCCTGCAGCTCTGCCTCCTGCATCATTCCTAAGCTCCTGGGAGTTAGCAGTTATTCATCATAGACCCTTTTCATTTTCCTAAAGCTCCATCTGACTGGTAGCATTAGTGGGTCTTCTGCTTGCAGGCCCCTTTGGTTGTTCTCATTGCTCAGATGTTCTCGTCTGTCATTCTCCATAGCCTCCAGCCAAAATGGCTTGCCATATTTGAAAGAGCCACAATCGTATCAATGTGGGTGCAGTAGCTGCTACCTCCAAAAGAATCATTGATGGCCAACTCTCGGGTCACAAGCTTCACTGTGCTTTGGTTTTCAATTGACAGGCACACCGTAGTTGCCAAGATCCACACTCAAAACCCTTCCATCTTGGTAGGGTCTACTAGAGATCAGGGCTTTCTGGCACAGTCTTCAAAAATCACCCAGGAGTGTATCAGCTGAGATAACTTCCAGTTCTTATCCACTGAAATGCAGCTAACATAGAATACAACTGACTATACCTATACTATAGAGACGTAAATAGGATGGTTGCCAGCCACAGAAAATATTACAGAGGAATTTGCCATCCAATGCCATATCAAGAGGGAGTGTAGCAAGTGCAGGGGCATGAGCTGGTTGGAGAGCCCTCCATGCTAACTGTCAGGGCCCCTGCCCATAAAAGAGCACTCTTTACATCTGCTTTGTTTCCATCATTTCCAAGATCTTCCTAAAAACTAATTAACAGCCTACGAAAGCTAGTTCAATTGGGAAAATGAAGAGAAACTGTCTATAGGCATTCAGAAACAGGAGACACGGCTCTTGTTTTTTAGGGAATATATAGAAATTCACCACAAAGTTATAGTAAACCACAGCTATACAGGAACCTTCAGAAAAGGCATCATTTTGGATAGGCAAGATTCTTGAACAGTTGAGAATTTGCCCCTTTAAGCACATTAAAAAGATGTAAGCATTTGGAAAGAAATAACTCTATAAAGTGTACCACACAATTACGTGCCTTCTAAAACAGTGTACAGTGGGAAATTTAGGAAGCTTTCATTCTGTCTTACTGAAGTAAGACGCCATACTCCTATTCACAGGTGAATAAGGGGGAGGTCTGATTGGGTGAAGCCCCATGACAGCAATATTTTAAATGAGACTACATGCTTTTACTATAACACTTCACTCTAGGCCATTTCTTAACTTCCCACTCCCCAATTCCTGTCATTCAGACTCAGTGGTCTAGGCACCAGCTCTATTCTACTGCTACCAAGCTCTATACCTTCATCTCCATTCAGTTCAGCCCAGTTCCACTCCCCAACTCACAATCCCTAGCCTCCCTTGCCTGATTCTCCTCCTGTGCCTTTTGGAACTCCTTTTTCAATGTTAACCTCTCCTTCATCTTGGATCTCTTCCTCTTACACTCCTTCTGTCTCCTTGGACTACTAGTAATTGAGTCTTTGGGTAATTGGAGCTGTCCAGCTGCATCTAGCCTGGGGGAGGTTGGAAGGCACCAGCAAGAAAAATGAGTGTGTGAATTCTGTGAACTCAGATCCCATTCTGGTATTTTTCTGAGGAAATGGCCATCTCTTAGTGGTGGAAACACCTATGGATAAAGTGCCAAAACTCTATAAGGGAAGACACTCAAAGGGAATGGGAAGCCTTATAAACAGAGTCTGATTTTGGGGAAAGAGAGCAAGCCTGGCAAAGTGGTTTCCGATGATCCTGACACACTCAACTGCCATTTCCTTGAGAGCACAAGGGGCAAGAAGCCATGTGATAGCCTATACTACCTGCTTAGCAAGAATGATTCAGTAAATATA